TGGCTCCAATAGATCTCCGAGGAAATTGCAAGGTAGTTGGCTTCTTGCTGTCAACCACCTGGCATCTTCCAACACCCTCTGATGGGCCTGTGCAGCTGTGTTTTATGTTTCCATGTGGACTTGCCAGAAGCCCCTCCCCTTCAACAGACCCCGCTCCCACAATTAGTGCGGACTCAACACGAGTTAGTTATGGAATACATTAGGTCCCAAAAGCCTCACAGAGCTAATTATACTTTTCTCCAGTATTTCCAGGTCTCCAGATTATGCTTTTAGTGTAAATTAAGGAAGTCTTACAATTCTATGGCTTTGACTGCAACAGGCACCATGGCCATACCTTATGGCCCAATTTCCAATGTTTTTCTTGGCCCCATTGTAATAATTTTCTGAAATAAAAGACATTCTTAAGATTGCACTTCAGACAGGGTTTCTTACTTCCCTATTCCTGAATTGCCTGGCTCTATTCCTCAAACATAAGAAATAGTGGACTAATTCATTGTTTGCTTGGCACTAAAGTTATTTAGGACTTTATTTGCATTTACTTGGCCAAATTATAAATACCTTCCAACAGTAATATCATCTTGTTTCTTCACCTACAATAATAAATTTGTTTCACTTAATAAAATAAGAAATGAGGTAAAGTCAACCAGTGTGACTACTGAGAACATACATTTGGCAGGCGGTGAGAAGGCCACTCCTCTAGCCATATCCAGTGTCAATTATAGATTACACATTCTAGAAAAACTGAAATTTAAATAGTGCTTATGTTGAGTTTTTAAATCTTTGGCTTCCATTTACAACCAGGGAATCTGGTGGACTCTGGTTTCTCCTATTCTCCTGTTTCCTCTTGGGTCTACTCCTTGTCTTAGACTCATGTCTTCAAGCCTTTTCTCAGTTGGTTACTGCTAACTGGTGCACAGATCCATAATACATATTTGCTGAATTTGTTTTGGAATTCAAACCGGGAAATTTATCATATCTGGAGAAATAATACAAATCCAAGTATCAGGAAATTAGCTGAAAAAGATTTGATTGTGGTAATCATAATTACCAAGGTAGCTTAACATGATTGCTTCATAGTTGCCCAACTGACTAGTGGAAGCTTTAATGGTAGAATCTCATTTTCAGTTAGTTTAATCAATGTGACATCAAGCATCAAGATCTGCATTTGACAAGTCAATAAACTGATGCTTTGAGAAGTGAGGTAATACATCCACAATCACAGAGCTACCCCAGTGAAATATATGCCTACTAACTATTGGCTGCGGATATATTTCACTGGGATTAATATGCATGTGTACACAAAACCAGTATCAATGCCTTTATATCCCTTGTACTTTCATTATTCATAATTCAGGTACTAAGTATGAGAATTTTAATAGTCTCTAAGTTCTCTTCAAGCTTTAAAGATGCTCCAGATATAAGTGACACATATCTTAAGATAATTTGGGGCTAACTTTTATTGTTGACTTTGAAACCCTAGAAAAGGGAAAGGAATAACTTTCCAAAACTAAGAATTTGAGAGCTTTGAAAATGAAAGGAGAGGGACTTAGGTACAGCTTGAATCTTACTAAAGTGTTTTAGATCTCTAAAAGTAAAATTAACACTGTGTTTTTTTTTCTTTTTACAGCTAATATTTATCTGCCTAAGACTATATGCTCATGGAAATCTCAAACAATCCCTATTAGCCAAAGCAATATTACTCTAAATTCATAAATGACAAGACCAAGCTTAACTCGCTCAGATTCACATAGCTACAATATAGTAAATCTCCAAACTAGGATATAGTCAACTCTGAAACCTATCGTTTTATGGGTATCACTGAATGCTGTTTATTCAGCTTTCACTGAATTCAGTTTTTAGATTGTTTATCTCTATACATTTAATTCTATTTATATTAGTGTCATTTTTGTTACTGATTATTAAAGCAAGCCCATGGGAGGTGGATCTGAAATCTGCTTAGGTTGTTTGCTAGCTCATATCTCAGTGTTGCATATGTGGTGACACTTAACGAGTATCTCATGATGCATGCCTTATGAGTGCAATTAAATATCTTTGGATCATTCTCAGTCACATGCTTATGAATTAAAAACTCTGTTTTCCTCTCCTGCTAGATATTTCTTTCTACTCAAAGTGCACAGATTAACAGACATCAAAAGAAAATAGACAAACCACATCAATACACAGATTTGAAAACTCTGACCTGAGAATAATCTCCATAGAGAAAACAATGTCTGGGTGAGTGATTGACATAATAAAGATCCTTCCTTCCCGAATGTGTTCCCATAGTTCATTCCATACTTATTAGAAGGGATTATTGACACTTCCAGAAAATACAATCTCAGAAACCCTGATAGCAAATTAACTTTGGTATTAAGACTAATTGATGTTAGATACTATTCTGTGCACTTGGACAGCCTAATTTTCATTTTTACTCTCAGATACTTTGGACACTATTGTTAATCTAACATGCATATATCAAACAAAACTTCACATATATTTCTCTTTTGTTTTTAAGGAAAACACAAGAAGGAAATAACATACAAATTAAGCTACATAGGAAGTGTGGAAATGCTTGGAAAAAATATTTTAAATCTTGCAACTATTTGGAGGGGTTAGGATATTTTCAAAGCCATAATTTTTTATCAAATAAGCATTAACTCATTTTTTATTTTACCCAACTATACATTTTGTGAAACAGTATTAACAGGGTGTGCTATTTTTCTCAAACCAAATTCTTCCCAATGAAATCCAACTGCAATATTCATTTAGAAATTTGATAATATTCTCTTGTGTGGGTTTTAGGAATATTTGAAACCCCATTGCATATAAATTATATCATGGAAAAGCTGTATAAATATTCTATTATGGCACATGGTGTTCTAAGGATCTGTCAGGATTTCCTTTATACACTCCATTTTGAGTGGTATATAAATCAGATGTAAAAATTCATGTTGGACTGAAACCCAGCACAAAGAGCCTCCTCCAGAGGCAAATGCTTTTTTCAAAATGTGGTTTGAATTATGTTGGTCATTTTTAAGTTATAGAGGTGCAGAAAATGTATTTGTGGTTTTGAAGGAGAGAGATTTTTTCCATTTTTATAACTCATTAGGAAACTTTACAGGCCTTTAGACCATTTTGTGGTTTAGTTCTTCTCAGGTTTTTTTTTCCCCAAAGCAATATTAAAACTTGAATGGTGTCCGCTATGAATCCAGTGATTACTGTTCTGAATATAAATGTGTGTGTGTATATATATATATATATATATATATATATATATATATAACCAGGAGACATTCTAAAAAATGATGTGGGTAGGAGATTGGGCCTATATGCTTGCCTATTCTTTGTCTTTGGTATTAGGTCAAATTTGGTTTAACAAAATAATCCTCCTCCTACCAATAGTTCAAAATGCATTGCTTTTAATTGTAAAACTTCATAGAAAAATCCATTAAGTTTGAATTCTGCTTCTTTTATGGACTCTTGAAGGCTTTAAATTCTCAAAATGATTTCTCTAATACATAAAGTAAGTTGCAACACTTTAAAAAGGCATTCACTGATTATAATCTCTCTTTTAAAAGTTTTGAATTTGTGTACACTTATATATAAAAATTAGTTTGCTAAATAGCACTGAATTGTTTTGCTGATACAGTTAATGTGCTTCTAAGTAGTTTCATAAAATCTGAAATTATTATTTTAGCACAAATAGAGATATATTATCTTTCTGCTTTACATATGAAAACATTGAGAGGTTAAAAATTTCCCAATCTTGCATTTTAGTTTTTAATTAAATTTGGCTTAAATAATTGCAACCTGTGTACCTTGCTACTAATATGATTCCCTCTTCATTATATTATTTCTGCCGCCAATACTAAAATCTTTGGATTTAGGTACAGTTAGAATGAAACACTCAGAGGATAATCAAGCATTTGCCTGTAGCTAGAGGAGCAATGTAGACTTTTCCTCTCAGTATCCTGTGAGGAGCACAAGGGGTCTCACTGTGCTTGAATGTTTCAGCTACTAATCTAGGGTCATGGAAATTAGCCAGCTCTCTTCTTAGAGATAGCTGAAAGTCACTGGGGTTTCTCTCTCTGTCTCTCTCTGTCTCTGTCTCTGTCTCTCTCTGTCTCTGTCTCTGTCTCTCTCTCTCTCTGTCTCTCTCTCTCTCTCTCTCTCTCTCTCTCTCTCTCTCTCTTTCTCCCTCTCTCTTTCTCCCTCTCTCTCTCTCTCACACACACACACACGCACACACACACAAACACATGCACACACACACATACACACACATCAGAATGTAGGGTTACTAATGAGGGGTCACATCCCAAATGTCTAATCTATGTACTAAATATCTTTATTCTTATTTGGGTCGTTTTTACTGCATTGAATTCACTTTAATAAATCATACTAATTTCTGTTTCATACTGATTCATTGTTACAATACTAAAAGTTTGTCTGTAATGTTTACATCCCTCATATGCTTCCATCTTTCTGTTAGCTTATCATTAGAGCCATTACTCTTATTATTTAACTTAACACAACTCACTCCAAATATCTCTGTATGACTGAAACATTTAGTAAAATATTTGCCGTGACACTTGGAGGAAATTTATAAATTTCTGAGTACTAAATGTATACTGAAATACAGTTTTATGTTAGTAAAAAAGTCTCATTGTATATATCTTTTAAAACTACCAAAAAACATACATTACATGTCAGAAGAGTTTTAACATGTTAAAAATTAACATATCTCATGAAGCAAGTAATACAACATTGCTCTCCCCCATCCATCTATTATATTATAGCAATAATATTCTTCACATGGAAGAAATAATTCCACAGTGCTCTTTTAAAATAACACTAGCATTTTTAAAATTTGACATCTTTGTTTTTACATAGCAAGAAATATATTTTTAATAGAAAGGTTATTTTTTACAACACACAAAGCAAATAGTGACATAAACTTTAAAGACAGTGAATAAGAAGAATGTGTAATATACTCTCACCTTGATTTTACCTTTAAGCAGCCTTTTTTTTGTCTACCAGAAACTTCTTCCTGTGGCTTCTCAGGCTCTGGCTCTTGTTGTTTCTTTTGACAAAGCAATATATAATTTGTGCCATTATTATTTGACCAAAATGTACCAACAGAAGTTTCATATCGTATACAAAACTCAACTTTACTGCCATCTTTTTGATAAGGAGGAACCAATGTAATCTTAAAGGAAAACTGGTCAGTTTCACCATCACATGAATTAGGAACATATTCAGCTAAAATGTCATAATATGTCTGCCAGTCATCTAAGGACATTCTCACATACACTAACTTCTCAAAAGAAACATTCAGAACTCGAATAATACCCTTCATACTCGTCGACCCAGGAGGATATTCAGTGGATTCCAGTATTGCTTTCCGTACATGAAGTTGTTGCATAAGGTCTTCTTTTGAAGAGGGCAAGTCAAATAGTGGAGATAAAATGTATTCTTCAGTGTGAAAAATATCCTTCCTCAATTCAAAATCTGTGGAAACACTTGGTAATTCCCAAGAATCAAATTCTTTAATGGACACGAGATTGAATCCGAAGTTGTCTGCAAATGAAACTCTTCTGGTACCTGAAGTTGGTGTGTCCAGGTACATGTCTTCAGAAGACTCAGAACATCTTCTACTTGGCTGAGGAGAGAAGCCAGGTTTGAAGTTACTTTTAACTTCTTCATCTTCACAAGGAGAATCAGACAAATTAGGAATTTCTAAAAAATTTTCTTTGCTAAACGGACTGGGTACTTCAGCAGGCTCCATTGGGCTCTGTGATATCAAATAAGAAAGAATTGTACAACTAGTAGGGGCTGACATTTGAGATACTGAGGCTTAAAATAAGTGTAGTGTTACAGTTGACATTGCAAAAAGGAGTCAGCTCTATAAATAGGCCCAAAGGCGTGCAAACTATGCTAGCCTGCCTCCAACGGCCTTTAATATGATAGCGTCCACGGTATGCTCGCCAGTATGTTTGATTTAACGCTTGGTTCTTAAAGTTGCATTTGCTGATGATCGAGTTCCAAAGTGATATTTCAAAAATCATTTTTCACTGTTAGAAACTCTAAAAGTGAAGGATAAAACCATTATGTTAATCAGTTGATATGAAAAATAGAGACAGAACATTTTCAAAAGGAAATAAAAGTAGTAAAACAGTACTAAATATATCTCAAATTGAATCAATCTATGGGGCAGACAAGGACAGAAAAGGGAATATAAAAATATTTATGGACGTGTAGTGGTATGAAACCTGCTAATAATAACTACCATTCCTGAGGACTCAGAATGTAAAAGATGTTTACTGTAAGAGAATTAAATGGAGGCACTGAAGATTTGGAGCAATGAAACACGATATAGATAAAGAATATAATATTTTACTTAAACTATGAAGAGGCAGCAGAATTTACAGATGCAAGGTTGAAGTAAGGTAGATTTTCCAGAAGAACCAGCCTGAGCCAACCTCTGGGACACAGAAATAATCAAACATGTTATTTTTAACATTATTAAGTTTCTTTTCATTAAGCCATGGGAAAATATATTAAGTCATGTGTTACTAACTTGAAAATGTAAGTGTGCAGAGGTGAGCCTTGTCCAGGATAAAATATAAAAATATTCATCTTTGGAAAATTTCCATCTTGTGCATGCTTAGTAAAAGTGTATACCTTTGCATTTTGGAGTTCAACAACAATTTTAAAGTGAAATCAGCCTGTTTGGGCTCTCACATTTTTTGTGCTAATGGAGAAACTTGCTTAGGTTTAGTAATTTGGTAAAAGCTATAAAATTTTTAAATGCATGTATGCTTTAGCCCGGAAATCCCTCATGTAGAAACCTATCCTATTGTTATTGAATATATATGAAGCTAAATGGAGATACATGTTTATAATAAAATTGTTCATTTAAAAGCTTTAGAAACTATCTAAATGTACATCAATGAGGACTGGATAACTAATGTTGTACCTTTATGATATAATGTTTTCAGTTGTTAAAAAGAATAAAATAGTACCTATGTACTGCTATGGAAAAATAACTATGATAAATAGTTAAATAAAAAATCTACACAAATATGTGCATAGAAAATTCCTTTTACAGCAAGTTCCCATTACAAAAGAAAATGTTCATAATGCTTATCTTTAACAAAGGAAGTTGAAGGTTGTGGTGGAAAAAGGACCCCAATGTATTTCACTCTGTAGCCCTACACAGTATTCGAAATATTAGACATGAGCATGATTTTCTTTTACAGTATCTGTAAATCGATTATGTTATATTGAAAAAATAAAGTTCTTAGGAGTGATTAATTTTTTTAAAAAAACAGCATAATTTCTTTTAAATATTTACAATTGTGTTATGACATATTGGATAATTTGAACCATAAAATAGTGTATGGATAATTCATTTTTCACAATTAAAAGTAAATATTATTTCAGAGACAAAAAAATAAAATTATGTGAACTTTACCTCAACCACCTAGCTGGAATGGGTGATGATGGCATGAATTGCTCAAGAAGGGCAAATGACTATCCCCTTGCAAACTTTATGACCAGAGATAGACATATTTCAAAGCATCCAAAATATGGCTTATGCAAGCAAGGAAATTAGCAACAAATACTTCATAGAACTAATAAAATAATCCATATGGACACAAAAAATAGAATAATGAGCATTTACTATTCAAGAAGGTCCTAATGTAATTTAAATAATGGAGATGAAGATTCTGGGTCATATCCTAACTCTACTGCTTCCTATTTGGATGACCTTGAGAATGCTACTGAAATTGTGTAAACCTCAATTTCACTAATTACAATGTATTGTTAGTAAATAAGACACTCAGTGACATGCCGAGCACAAAACTTAGAGTAACATTGCAATCATTATCTTTTGTTTCTGAGAGCCTGATTCTTGAGTATATCAAATAGAAAGATGAGAGAAAGAGACAGAGAGACAGAGACAGAGAGATCCATATATAATACTAAGAAACTATGTGCAATTTGTTTTGTTTTTGTCTTTTTCAAAGATTATGGAACATAGCACTTTAGCCTTATAAAATATCAATTCTCTCTACATTAGAAAAATGATCCTGTTATTTGGTCTAAACTTTGCCATTTTTAATGTGTCTCTTTGCATACAGCGCTTCTATGATTTGTAGGAATCACTGCCTTTCTTTTGGAATTTATAATCTTCAGCTAATTGTAGACAGTTGACATGTTCTCCTTTAGTCACCACTTAGCTAAAGCACAGTGATTTTATCTTTTCAATTTGTTCTCATGTGTCAGTCCTCCAGTGCTTTATTTTTAATCATTGTGCTACTCTTCTATGTATGCCTTCCAGCTTTCCTTTATTTTTCTATTGGTGAGATGCCTCCTGCTGAAATGTAAGATCACAGATTGTCTCAGGAGCATAAGAATACATACTACCATCCTTAACCTTCTGACTTTATGTTTGTATTTAGCTAAAATTCACAATTCCTCGCTTCATTTCCATATCATAGAGCAGATCAACACCTTATTTTCTCATACCCACTACTATGCTACCTCAATTTCACAATGACTTTTAGCTCTCTTTTCTTCAACTGCTTAGGTATATTGTTGTTAACAGAATGAGATAGTTTTTCTTTTTATAAATCAAGATTAAAGTCTTCACACACACCAATTTATTAACCAAAGATTATCAAAGGTAGTTTTAACACAAACGTTAGATCAGTCAAGATTCCAGAAAGTAGGGCATAGACAGCATGCTCAAATAAGATAACTGCAAGAGGATTTATTTACAAGGGTCTATTTATAAAATGTAAATACAGAAAAGCCACAAGGGCTAGTGTGACACACTGAGGCTACTGACATTAGAGGTACTACCATTCCTCAAGGGATTGTGGGAAAATTGTCAGAACTTGTAAGCCGAAAGTGACATAGTTTATTGGTTATAAACCTGGTCAGATGACACAGCCAGCTTAAGATGATCCTTGACAGGAGTAACCTAGAAGGATAAATATACTGAATTCACTCGTCTTTCCTGGCATGCTCAATCAGAGTCAGCCACTGGTCAGAGGGTATGGGAGTTACTATGATTCATTCAGATTAGGCCCTTGGAGGAGACAGCAGAAGAGACAATGATGAAAAGAGTAGCCACTAGATTTGGAAGAGCAAAGAGAAGATATCAAGGATTAACTGTGCATTTATATGCTGTATTAATACAATATAATACATATTATACAAATATATTATATATATATATATTATTTAAATATATGTGTTCCTTTGCAATATGATTAAATGTGTGGCAAATAATTTTGAAAAATTTATTATTCTAAAAGGTACATTGTTATTAATCTCCCTAAAAATACTCCTTCTTCCTTCTAACATGATATTCCATCATTTTTGCCACTTTTTGAAACAGTTCTAGGAGTACTCTTTTGTGTCTTTATGAGTTATGAGCAAAAATTCAGTGCATTCCTAGTGAAAACATTACAGTGTTCTTCATCCACTTCATTGACTAGATCTTGCATCATCCTGCAGCTTCCAGCTCTTACCATGAGAGATGAATGTTTTGAATAGATTCAGACATGGAGGCAACCACACCAGGTTGCTGGCTGACATGAAAGAAGACTTTCAAAGCTGCTTCAGAAAATGGCAGGAATGAGGAATAAGTGTATTCACAGCGAGTATTCTGAGGGGATTAAGGGCTGCTGGCCCATTCTGGGTGCCCTGGGAGATTTTCACAGGTGAGATCCCAAGGTTAAATAACATACATGTGCAAGACATCAGCAAAAACAGAAGGCAGCATGGAGCAGAGCAGAGAGTGCAAGAGAACCACCTGCGTGTTTACTGTATAATTCTTGTGTAGGCTGTTATCTCGTATTTACATTCTTATATAAAGCTATAAGCAATGCATGCTCATTGTCCTGTGTTGTTGTGGTTACATAATTGCACCCCACTGTGCACCTGTGCTAGACAAGCAGAGTCACGTCCTCAGGTGTCTTTGGATGCCCCTGAGCTGTGAAGCAGTATGAGGGAGTCCCCATATCCATCTTCTCAAAGGTTGGGTGTACATAAATGAAACATTCTCTATGTAACAGGGCACAAGTACCTATAGCTAACAAACCCAGAATGGTGTAGTCCTGTGAAACCACTGTGAAATCGCAACATCAAAGCCTGTCACGAAATATTTAAGGCCTGGGCCATATGTTAAGCAAGGGCTTCCACTTGGAGGGTTAAGTTTATTCTGTCCCTTGTCAGATGTTATTCTTAGTGGCATCTCATATGCAGCAGTCAATATTTCTGGTCAAACACTATTCCTAGCTATCAACCACTGCGATGCAAGTCAAGGCATCTGTTAAGTCATTTCCCAGTGAGAGGAGAGGATTATGTCCTGAACCATGATGGCATGGATTATGTCCTGAACCATGATGTGGTCAGCTTTTTTAATTTTTTTGTCCTCTTCCCATATGTCTCCCCATTATTTGGCACTCCACAAGAGACAGTGCCCTATCTTTCATTTCTGAGATTCTCAAGCCAGCTAGGAGTAATCAGCTCCCTCAAGAGGGCCCAACTGTCAGTATACTCATGTAAATGGTCTTTTTCATGCATCACAAACAATCACACAGTCCACAAGGCTGCTCATTGTGTCCTGCTAGTTTTAATTTAAAATCAGAATACTTACTACTGGGCTGGACAGCAACTGCTGTACATTGCAAGGATTCGATCATGACTACACCCATCAGCATATCTGGTGTCAGACAGAGGCTTCTCTTTCCCTTTTGTATAAGGACTACAGATCATGTCCTATACTCTGTCTGGATGTCCTAAACTATGTATGTCATAGGTCCCAAAACTCTTGCCTGTTCAGCTGCC